AGAGTGTTTAAGCCCATTGTTTTGGTTTTACGGCCCACTTGCATTGACCCTGTTTCCAGCAGGCAGTTATGTTCAAAGTTCTGATAAACCGACACTGCCTGCCCAGTACCAAATGGCAGACAAGCAAGGTTAGCAACTAGCTGAACATAGCAGAGTATTTAGCAGCCAAAGAGCCAGATATTTTCTTCAGAAGTTGTTGGAGACCAAAACAGAGCTAAAACATAATGCTGTTTTATTTTTATTTTATTCTAAATTAACAAAAACACAACAATTCTTGTTTTCAGGTGATAATACACTAATGAAAACATGGCTATGAATATCCTCCTAAATGTTCCACTCTGGATCTTTAATGTTACCTATTACAGTCTTAATAAGATAGACACTGATGTGGTTTCCTATATATGACTCATTTTGTGTTAAAATGAATAGTCATCTTTTTTTCTCAACATGGAGATCATAACATGTTTTCCACTGTTTAATGTTTTTTTCTTTCACAGCGCCTTGTCATCTTGACCACTCCTTCCACTGATTTACCGAAGACAAAGCAGGAACAGGAGAAGCTGCTGGCCATCTTTGCAGCAGACGGCGACAGCCTCCATCAGAAATCACCTCCCACTAAGGACGGCTACTTCCCTGTTGATGAAAAGGAGTCTCATTGCTAGAGACTTGAGGGTTGGAATCAGTGCCTTTCAGGGGTCAAAGGTCACTCCTCAGCTTTGACACTCTTTCTGGCCCCATCCAACTCTCTCTGCAATACCTCACCAGAGAAAGTGGCGAAACAGGCACAGTGCAGACTTTAAGAGTCACCTGACCTGTAACTGCTGATCTGCTGCTGGAGCTTTCTCTTTTGTACATTGCCTTCAACATACAGTATGATGGCATCAGCAATCTTACTTAAAAAGTTACATCCTTTTTTTGGAGAGTTGGTTACCATCTCATTTGCCAGTGGCAGAGTCACATGTACATTTAAAAAAATGCGGCCATTGTTGTTACACAGTGGCTAAGAATTTACATTTGATCGTGTCTGCTTTCTAAGGAAGCATTTTTTTCTGTTATGGACATCTCTAATGTTCAGTTAGTCTGACATGACATTCCAGTTACTTTATTGATTCTAACATCTGCTGCGAATGGAGCATAAGAGGTGTCACATGAATGCACACATCATAAAATTTCACTTGAATAAAAGCTACAGTTTGTGTATTTAAAAGCACTTCTGTAAAGCATACAGTATGGTGTATTTTATCCATCAGTCCAATCATGGTGACAGATCTGTTTTTACTGTGTGGTGTGGATGTAGAGAGTTATCATCTCAGGATGTAAGATTTATTAATAAAAAAAGAATCCTACAAAAGCATACTAATAACCAATGCTTGAGAATGCAAGAATTGGATTTCAGATTTAGCTGAACTGACTACAATTCAACTCAATTAAGCTTTGTTGTTGTCTAACAATTGTTATTATGTTCATTTGTTCAGTTCGTTTTTATTTCTCTTGCTTTACTGAACATTGCAGAGTTGCATGAATATTTTCTCTCAATCTTCTGAGTATTGACATGATTTTTATTTAGTTGGTTTTGCCTTATCTCTAATGCATTTAATTGTATGAAATTAAAATGTAAAGTGCCTGAAGGAGACTATGGAGGAGTTATGCCACTTAGATATTATGAACAGGCTGATTGAAGGGTTTCATTTCAAAATGAATATCTCTCTCGTCATCTCTTTTTCTGCTGTATAATAATGAATTTCAGCCTGTGTTTCTTTAGATGTTGGAATGAACATATGATCATTGATTACTGATAAGGAACACTTTTCCATATATAACTTTTATATGCTAAAATAATTTTTTATGACTGAATAAAAATAGCTTCATTTGTAACAAACATTCCTGTTGAAACATATGTTTAGATTTTGTGGGACATACAATTAATTTTTCAGTACATGAATCATCTTTATCTTTTACATCTATGTGTTCTTTTTGACGATCCGAAGAGGTATTCTACATTTTGGCAACACAGTCCTCATTTATAGTAAAATCTCATTCTTAGATAATATTGCCTCACTTGCTAACAGCTAATCTTTTAAAGTTTCTATAGTATTCAGAGAATTTGCAACACATAACTAAGTTACATGTGCAACAAAGTAAAATACAATATATTTCATCTTGTGGGCAGTTGGAGCATAATTGATTAGCACTTTACAGTGTTTTGAAGCCTAAATGTTAAGCATTGCCAAGTTAGTGCAATGTATGTTCCATAATTAAATTTTAATATAGTTATTATGGTAAAACAAAAAAAAACAATACTAAACATATTGTAATAAACACAATACAGTGTAGTATACACAATGATGTATATTTTTAGACCCAATTTATAAACAGTTGTTAGCTTCTACAGCCCTTCTATCCAATAACACATTATATAATTCATTGTTTTTTAAGGTATATTATCATTAGATTTTGATCTAAACTTGCAAGAGTTATAACATACCTTATATTCGTCTATATCTGTTCTCAAAGTGCTATCTATTATGCAGCTTTAATAGATTTGACATGCAGTTTCACAGAACTCAACATAATAGTAGATGGAGGCCACCAGTTCTAACCACTTAAAGAGATTCATTTGTCACTATAATTTCAGTTTCTGTTTTATATTATTTCCTGTAGTGGAATACTTTTCTAAGGATAATTTACTTCCCTACCCCACACCTTCAAATAAGCAGGGGTTTTTTTTGTGTTTGCCGAGACACAAGAGGTCTGAATGGCTTGTACAAGAGGTTATTTATAGTCAATGGTGTGACTAACACAAATCAGCTTTAAACTGTTGTTTTTCACATCTCAAAGTGCTGAATATCTCCAGAAATATTAGGAATTACTTATTAGGTTGGAGCTCTGAGCTACTGAGCATCAATGATTTGGTGTAACACCAGGTAAAGCTGTTGCAACAGTTTTCTATTAGATATTCCAGTCAAAAAATAGTTAGAATAAGTAAATGAATAATTCAATTTATTATACGTTTTAACTCAAAATGTAATGCTGGGATACAAAACCCTTAACACAACTATCCACAATCTAATCAGAAATGTTGCAGCAGTAATACTTGATTCAAGGCAGACAACTAATCTGAAAGTACCTTCACTTTAGTTATATGGTATGAAACTCTTTGCTGCTCTCTTGTTGCTACTCTGCTGCTTGTTGTTTTTCCTTTAATCCAAATTCAAAGGGATTTAAGGAGGTGTGGAAGTTTGGATTCCAACTCCCTGAGGACAAAAGCTGTTTCTTCAGCAAGACAAATCAGAACTCCAGCAGCCTAAAAAACAAAAAGCAACGGGCTCCTTGTGAGAGGAGCAGCTCCTACAAGTTGAATACTGCTAAAAGACTGAATTGTTTCTTGGTTGAATTTAGATAACAAAGAAGAAAATATGAACCCATTTTCTTTGTAGTGAAAAAGGCACTGAAAACCAAGCCAGGACAAGAGAATGAGGAGCCTGGTTCAGTCTGTTTACTGTTAAGGCACAATGGAAACATGCCTGATGTCAAAGGTAGTATGTGGACTCCTTCTGGTTGTCACTGTGCACTCTCAGGAAATGGCTGCTACTGTTTACCTTGTCTGCCCATATCATTTTTTAGTCTCACAAACAATACCAATGTACCTCATCCTTTCAGTGTAGTATGCTGTCTTACTTAATGATTAATGGTAAAAAAAAACCAAACTATATGTGTACTTCATAAACGGGCAACTGGGTGCATGTTTAGAAATTTAAATATTTCATAAATAATTGAAGAAGCCACAGTCTGAATTATATATATATATGTTTAGAGTACACTAATCTCTAGATCCTAGTATGTCAAACTAATGCCTGAATTTTTATTATCAGTTGTATAATTTTAGTGATGGATTCAGATCATCTCCCTAAGAGTAAAAGTAGCAATTCCACAGTGTCAAAACACACATCTTACATTCAAAATATTATTATATATAGTTAAATTGCAGAAATAGGCCTACTAGGCCTACTATAAATGACAACTTAAACTATAAAAACTAAAAATACCTTTCTTATTATGCTGAACAGTGTTATATTGTTACATATTTGATTACTGGACTAATATAATGACTGGACTAATGTAATGATGAGTAATTATTTGTTATATTGGTTGGTTGCTTAACCACAACAGTTCATCATGTTTTATAAATCAGTTGAATGTTTTTGTAAGCAAAAAAAAAAATCTTAATCTGTGAATGTAGTGGAGGAAAATGTACAATATTTTACAATATTTCTCTGAAATGTAGTAGAGTATAATTAGCCTATAAAGAAGCACAACATTTAAATACTTAAAGGCTACGCACGTACAGTAGGTATGTTACCTTAGGAAGTTCCAACACTGTATTAATTTATACAGTTAAATAATTTCACAAAGCAGCTGTGTCTGTAACTGTTGCTGCAACTGCTTTCTAGCCTTTAGGTCAGTGGTTCCCAACCTGGGGGTCAGGAACCCCACTAGGGGTCGCCAAAGATTCACAGGGGGTTGAGAGGCCTTCTTGATTTTAAGGGGTGTATAAAGATGTTAAACATATAAACCGTACGTCTATATCACAAATGTGTTGTTGTTTTCTGCAAAGAAAACTCATTTAAATTATTTTTATATTTATATATTTTTTTTATTACATTTACTTACACTTCCTGCAGTTATTGTTTTCATTATTTGGCTTCATTGTACAGTCTATTAGTTGTTCTCTACTGTTTTTGATATGCATTGACTTTAATATGTAATATCCATAAATGTGTCACTTATTCAGGGAAGGTCCATTTACTCAATGACAGAAAAGGGCTGTGGACCCCTGCTTCAGGACCCCTGCTTCAGGCGGTGCATGTCAACACGTACTGTGCAGCAGTGTCTAGACGTGGCTCGTCGTTGCCCGTCTGCAATACGCCTTTACCAGCAGGGGTCGCTGCAGTCTTTATTCTGAGTCAGTCACTGTTTACGGAAGTAAAGTGACGTGTCACTGGTGGACATTGCATTGTGGGAAGGGAAAGTGGAGCTGCTGTCGGCCGTCGAAACTGCTCAATTTGGCGAATATCTTATATCCATTAGTGAGCAGCCTGAAGAAACAGACACCAAGGGGAGCGATGCTACTTCACGGAGCTAATGTCAGCGGGCTGTGAAGGAGACGAACATATGCCGGTGTCATCGCTGCTCTCCTGCGCACGGGCGCTCAAAGCACAGAAGTGGGATACTGTGTCAATGGACCGCGGCGTTTTTATTTTCTTTTCCAAAGCAGCCGAATAAAGTAACGACGGATTATAGTCCCGCTGTGGATGGGCGCGGGGGGCGACTGCGCTCCGGCTTTGCTTATCGTTTGAAGTGAGATTTCTGTCGAAGACGCCGTCGAAGATGTCGACCAGCAGTCCCGAAGCGGTGAAGAAATTGCTGGAGAACATGCAGACGGACCTGCGGTCTCTGTCCATGGAGTGCAAGAAGAAATTCCCCCCAGTCAAAGAGGTTAGCCTGCTAGTTAGCTTTACTGACCCGTTACCTTGGCGTTCAGCAGGTTGTCTCAATTGTGAATATGCTTTTATATTCGTAATAATATACATTTTTATATATATTTGTTTGTTTTGAGCCCCCCCCCAAACACACACACACACCAGCCACTGGGCCTCTGCTCCGTTGTGGGATGTGAACACTGAGTTGTCCTCATACTGAACGGGCACATTAAAAGTTCTGGGAGCCACTGGGCCTATCTGCCCACTAGGCGTCCATATAAAAGGGCTATACAGGTGTTTTTAAATGGCCTGTTTCCCACACTTTGGTTAATGAGGATCCATATGATGTTGGTCCGGGGGGAACCCACATGAACTCAGCTGACCCTTTATTTACATTAAAGCTTACAAAACTACATGTTTTGACTGGCAGTAGGTTATTTTCTAGGCATATTCAGTCGATACACCAGCTAGTTAGTTTTAAATGACACTGTAGTACGGTGTTACCCTTAGTAGCAGCTGCACAGTAAAACCTGGACAAATTCAAATCTTTCGTACTTCATTTGAAATAATGTATAATGGGTATTGTTTATGTTGTTGAATGTCTGCCCAATAGTTGTATTCCCCACTTTGCAATCCCTTATTGCAAGAGGGAGACGCTGTTCAGTAAAGTGGCATTATTATTCACCCATGCAGATGTAGAAAATATATCCCCTATATATATGGTCTTTTGTTAAAGTGCCAGTTAATCCACATTGCACACACAAATGCACACACAAGTATAGTTCCTGCCCCTTTAAGCTTTGTGAATTATCCTAAGTAACCATGACATTGTGTCTAGACATGTTGCTCTCATATTTGGGGGTGGCTGCAGGAATCAGAGGTGGATATTTCACAACGAAAGCCAAAACTATACATAGATTCCACTTACACCAATGCTCTTTGTAATTTGTGAGATCTAGCCGCTGTTAGTGAGTGGACAATGCTCAGGTGAGCCGTTTTGCCCCAAAATGTTTGAGGCATTTGTCGGAGAAGACGTGTTTGGCCTACTTAAGTCTGTCTGGGATCTCACATTGCAAGCTGGTTTCACCACGAGCTTGCCAGTATTGACACAGCCACAGGCCGTTTCATACTCCGTGTTTTGTTTTTTTTCATATTACTTGGAACGATGTGCTGTTGGCGGCCGCTGACTGGCTCCGTTGTGTAGCAGTGTTGGTGACATCATGGATGAGAACAAGTACTGTAGTACAAGGAGGTGTGACGTCAGGGCCCTTTACAGTGTGTGTGTATTGTTCGATTGTCACGGGGGAAGACAACAGTTAGCCCAGCTTTTATGACTCCACTTTGCCATCATCACCCTCTTTAAGTGCTGTGCTTTTAGCCTTCCACAGGGCTCGTGTCAGAGTTCATATACATCTAAAGTGAATTGTATTTTCTTTTGATCCTTAAATGAATGGCTAAAAGATAAACTAATAATCAAACACTGCCACCATTCACTCTGTCACGGTTTGACCTCGCTGCATTTCATAACTGTGTAGATATATAGATTCTTTTATATAATTGACTTGTCTCTGAAACAGAGTGCAGCTAGTGTTTGCCAAAGTTATGTAATTCAACTGACACCATCTCACTGAGAGCCTCTTTACCTTAATTCCCTGTAATTCCCAGGTATAGCGAGCTCACTGTTTGCTCCAATATGTAACAGTAGTCACACGGGTCATTAGATGAATTGCTGTACTGTATGTGGGGCTTTTGGTGCCACGGAAATATTCATCCGTAAGCTCAGCGGGGCAGCACACACATCAGGCTACACCGGCTTAGTTTGTTTTTTCTCAGGTCTCACCTCGGTCAAAGTGTAAAGACAACATCACAATGAGAAAGAGAAATGGTAAAGCAAGTGCTTCCGGTTCCTTCGTCTTTCTGCCACTGTAGACTGATTCAACCCCTTGACTTGAGTGCCTGATATGTTAAAATGAGCTCCGAGGCGGTAACATAGGGCCATAAAAAGCATACATCTGGTCTCGCGCCTCATCCTGCTCACTGGCCTTTGCCTAGGGGCCTCTTGAAGCATCTCCTTCAATATTGATTTATCATCGCCCATGTTTCCCTGTCCTTACCATTATCTTTCCCTCAGGGATCACAGCAGTGCAGGGAGCCACTTTGATGTTCCCCGCAACCTGAGCTCACTCACGCTCCGGTTGATAGTGTTGTGATTGAAACAGCATTTCCGCTTATATTTGCTGGGGTGGTATTGTGCACCAGAAAAGCTGACTGGTGGCTGTTTGTGTGCCTGTTGCAACAAATGTAGCCTTTACTCTATCCACTCTCATTGCAAAAGAAGAATGAGGAAGCCCCGTCTTCATTTTCCAGCCAGTATTCATTCCACTTCCTCCCCCATTTCTCAACACATCTCCCACAGTGACACTGCACCACAGCCAGTGGTTTCTCCGGGTTAAGAGGAGCCAAGAAGTGTCCCATTGATATTTCTGCATCATAGCGTCACATTCAGAACCTCTCTTTCATTGAGTAGTAGTCAGTGAAACCACCAGGGCTTTGCTGTTTGTTGTGCTCTGATTGCTTTTGCCTAGGCAAAAAAACATCAGTCAGCCAGCCCTGCTCTCTCTCTCTCTCTCTCTCTCTCTCCCTCTCCCTCTCTCTGGATGAGTCGGGTGCTGTCAACTATAGGTAGCTCAGACTGAAATGTCTTGGGAAAACCCGCAGAATAAATGAAAGCATTACGGACAACCTTTGTATGGCTCGCTTAGCACAAGTCATTTGCTAGACAGGTCATGTAGACTGCGCGGAGACAAAATAATAGCAACATGGAGGGATTTAGTGAACTGCTGCTATTGCACTATTCTGACTGAATAAGCGTTTCTCATAATATGCTAAGTAAGTTACCAAAAACCGCTGAGTTTTGAGACGCTCACAGCATGTTTCTAAGGAAGTCAATCTGTGATGAGCTTCACTAATGTTGCTTTTCAAAGAAATGAGCTGGCACTCAGACATCGGTCAGTTCCGCTTTGAGGATCTCCATATAAAAAAGGCCCTGGAGAAGAACTGAAAGTACTGAGCATTTCCTGATGCTGCCCGGTCCTTATATTGTTTGTACTGCAGAGACCTGTATTTAACGTTCCTTTCCACTGGGAGTTTGTCCAACTATTTCCAGGACTGGATTGCTTATGTATCCCTCAGTCATTTCTGAATATTTTTTGCTATTATCTACTTTTGACGTTGCTTGTTCAGCGTCGTACGTCACACGCGTCAGTAGCTGTATCAAGGCGCAAAGACACGGCGGCCGCAGGTGAAGAAAAAGAGGATGCACCATCCTGTTTAAAACCAGAGGTGTGGCAAAAGGGAATATATTTTGTAATGTTTTTTTTTTCTGAGAAATAAAGGAATATTTTTTTAGTTATAATTGGTCTACAGTCTGTTAAAAAAAATCTTGACAAATTCGTGTCTTGAACCTAGTATTGTGAATTGTATCGACTCGTTACAGCCCTAGATACTTGTCATACCCAATGTTAAGGACACATTTTGTTTGGTACTGAAAAGGTTTCGAGGTTTGATATCCAGCCCTAATAAACACACTCCAAGCCACTTTGAAGATGCATTAGGATTTCAATGCTAAAAAGTAGACTGATACGGGTTTGTCTATGGCAGATGCTGGTATTTAGAGAGCAGCATCAAAACAAAGAGAAATCATGTGTATTTCCATTATTCCATGCACATATTCTTATATGCATGGTTATCTTAGCCAGTAACATGTTGTTTTAGGTGCAATTTGTATTAATTGAGGAAACAGAAAAAAATACATTGGGTTATGCTATAGATTTCAGAATGTGACTGGTATTTAAGTGAGAGAGGTACAGTATGTCAGAAGGGACGCAATTCAACTGCATTACTCTATACATTACAACCTAAAATATATTTATCCAGCCAGTAACAGTTTTAGGATGCAAGAACCATGTTAATATTTAGAAAAGATGATGGTGACTGATGAAATGTAGGCAAGCGTTTTAAGCAGGATTCATGAGAGTTACAGTACAGGGCTCAAAATAAACTATTTCACCACCTTCCCAAAATTCCCAAGGGGGAGAATGAATATGGTTCCACAGCAGCCAGACTGTAAAGTCTGTAGATGCGCCAGACAGGCCGATGCTGATTATCTGAAAATGTCCGATAATAGGCCCGATTAATCATCTAGCCAGTCAATACTAAAAGGCATTTTGTTAGCAATCAACAACTACAGCAACCATGACTTCATGGTTCTCTTGAATGCTAACAGACTAGCTATAGACACCCATCCACCCTATGATATAGACACAAACTCCATGAAGAGGTTTTAGCTTTTCAGAAAGACATTGGAAAGAAATCCTCCATCTGCTCTCAATGATGTTACAATGACATCATCAGGCCAGCGGTATTTCCCTCCACATGGTGGTGACTTCATAATGCTGACAGTTCGTATAGAGAAGTTGGGTCTACACTTTACAACACAAAGCTTAAACAGCGCTTTCTATGAGGAAGTATGTGGAGAAATGTCACTGTTTTCATCCCAACTGGAATCAAGAAGAATGCCTGTATACAAACAGATTTTCATTTTTATACAAAATGTTACCTTTTGTCACTCGCAGAGTTTTATTTACTTTACTGTTTTCAGTATCAAGTAGCCACGGCATGGTTGTACTAAATAAGCTCTGTGTGTTCTCCTCCGTGCCTGGAGACCTCTGGCTCTGTTTGAGGAACAAAGGCGAAGAGGGAGACTAACATTTTTAGAAGATTAACTTTTTAAGAAGCTGTACAGAATTGGCAGGTTTGTAATAACAGCCCAACCCTCTTACCAACGGGTGCCGGGTAGCCGACTGTTCAGCAGGTTATGAATTGTTGACTTCTACAGTAGCTTGACCTTGTGGCTGTTTAAATGACACCTTAAAGTTACGCAATCACGTTGTTGGCCAAATATTTTAGCCCCTCCAACATAAGGGGACTGTTAGAATTGAAATGGTCACTCAGATAATATATATTATTATCAAAATATGGCCCCAGTGTATTTCTGTAGCTGCAGAAATGATAGGATGATGCTGGTTTTGAGAAAGGAGTTGAGACTCATTTGTAACACATGCATGCTCGGATCATGCAGTGGCTGTATGAAAAATGCATCAAGGTAATGTAGGCCCGTTGGCTGTTTGCACAGTTGAGGATGCTGCTGATTCCACTGATGTGTGCTATTCGATCCACTGATATGCCGAAAGCCGTTATTAAAAGCCGTAACATGCAAGTTATTTAACGTATAGCATTTATTAAACGCTACATTTTCCATTTTCACGAGGAAATCAGATCGGCAACAGTGATCAGAAGAGGACCGTCTTTGTTCACCGTGTGCCTCTTTCTTGCCGTGTGTGGGCTCTGCAGATGGTGGTTACCTCAGCATCAGGTTGCCAAAAGAAAACTGCTCATTGAGATGACTGATGGAGAATAGAAAAAATGGAGTTATGGTCTCTCAGTCTGCAAACGTGCAGTACAGCTGTTATCATAAGGTACACGTTTGCACGTTGTATCTTTTAGACAGGTTATCTGCAGTATGAAACGTGGTGTGTTCTTATGGCTATGACAAAAACGGTGAATAAGAGAAGTTGACTGGGTGAAGGAAGTGTAAAATTGAGAGCAGGTAGTAATGGGGAAGAATGCCGGGGAGAGGAGGAGGAGGAGGAGGAGGAGCAGAGGTCGGAGAGATGGGAAGAATATCTTGACAGGCTTTCGGTGGCTTGCTGTTTTTTCGGAAAGATGAGAATAGATGTCAAAAAAAGATGCCTCTGTTTTGACTGGTAAATGCTCAGTATCTCTTTTTCTCTCACACAGACACAGACTGACTCACATTTAGACTGACTCACATTTAGTCTGTCTCCATGTCACCCCCACCCCCCCGCCTCCTGCCCTTTCTTTCTCTTGACATTCATCCTTCCCCCTTTCGATATCTTGCCACCCCTGCCAGACACCTCACTGGGGAAATCACTTCCTACTAGCACATCCCTCTGAAGTTGAAGCCCATTCTCAACAGATTTACCAGCCCTCCGTTTGTATCTCTGCGGCCAGGCTGTGCTGTTTTTACCCCTGTGGCCATCACAACACGAGGTTGCCTGCATCATCAGCATCTTTCGATACATGTTCCATTGAATGTAAACGTCTACTCTCTGTTTTTACCCTCCAGGCCGCAGAGTCTGGCATTGTGAAGATTAAGACCATTGCAGCCAGGAATACAGACATTCTAGCAGGTGAGTGAGAGAGTGAGAAATGACAGCTGAGATATCGAGCTGCCACTTTATCAGAGTGCGCATTTCACCCGGATTTGAAAATGATACATTTCCATGAATTCCCCCACAAAATATTCTATGTATTTGAATTGAATTTGATTATGTTAATGAGATTATTCATGATAGTATGCCCTCACTTTGCCACATTGCTGTTTTACTAACACTGTACACTAACATTTGTATCATTCCAACACTATTTTCAAAGTGTAGGCCTCAGTGCTGATTAATGTGCGCTGTCCCTTGTAAATGGAATAATACAAGTAAACAAGTATTAATGTTTTTTTATTCACGTGACACAGTTTTTTTTTTTTTCACATACAAGAGACATACAGACATCCACTGTATTATGGTTTATTTTTGGTTTTTATTTGTGGAGTCAGCCTGTGGCAAGTCATTTACAGTACAGCACATTACACAAAGAGATACAGTCTTTTCTGTCATATTGGTTGCTAACCCAGTGCACTCCATGGAAAAGGAGACCTGCATATTCATTTATATAAGTGCTCATCCCTCAGCTTTGTTTATAAACGGTGAAGATTTAACCCATTTAGCTGATCAGACACCTGCGTGGTCCGATTTCACTACAAAGCTCTTTCAAATGTGGCTGGCCCTAAACACTTGAATAGGAAATGCTGTCTTGATAACAAAGTCCAGCTTTTAGTAACATTTGCAGAGTTGACACATAGTCGACATTTTCCGAGTTCCACGGTTGACTGTCCGACTCTGACTGCCCCTCTGTAAACTGTGAACTGTACAGCACCTCATTGGAGAGGAGTTCATCCTTGTTTCCAGAATAGATTTGTTAGTTGTCACAGCAGCGTAATTATGTGTTACAAAAAGACTGAATGGTGAAACCTGTATAACCTGCAGGTTATGTAAAATGAAGAAACTAAAACCAGTGCAATAAAGGTGGAAATTATACAGGTAGTTGGATGTAAAGCACTGGTTCCCTGTCATGATCAGACAGCACAAATGTATCAAGGCCACACATTAATAATTTCTTTTAATGTTGTTGGAAATAACCATTTAGAATTCCTCAATAAAGACCCAGTACAAATATATATTCAAATGTTGATAGTTAAAAAACATTAACATTTAAAAACACATTTTTCATTACTCAGCCTTGGATTAATAATTGAGCACTGTGGAGCTTACTATGGGTATTTAAAGTTACACACAATGTTCTCTTTCTTTTCTTTTATTATGTAATTTTCACCATTGAATTTGTGCCTTGGTATGGTATTTTGAAGTATCTGTAAAGGTATGAAAAAATAAAATAAAGTGACATTTAGTTCTATCTCTGTCCTTTTCCTGCAGCTCTAAAGGAGAACAGCTCAGAGGTCGTGCAGCCTTTTCTGATGGGCTGTGGCACCAAAGAGCCAAAGATCACCCAGCTGTGTCTGGCTGCCATCCAGAGACTCATGTCCCATGAGGTGGTGTCTGAGGTGAGGACCATGAGCTAGTCTGGTGTTCAAAATGCTGGCATATAGATACAGTGTACTCACGCTAATGTTCGGAGTTGGAAAATGGCATATTATAAGCCTTAGCAAAGAGCAATATGATGAAAAAAAACATTAAATTATATTCATTATTCAAATGCGGTAGTGTAATTGGAAATATAATATAATTGATATTAGGCCAGTAAACGTCAGTATAGCTCAAGTCAGAATACCTTTATTTTGTCTATCATAGTTTTTTGTCTTGTCTGAACGACGTAGAGTCATGACTTTAACGACATAAACACCTTACATTAAAAATTAAAAACACCAAGCTTATATTAAAGATCTAGTGTGTAGGATTAAGTGGCATCTAGTGGTGTAGTTGCAGATTGCAATCCCTCGCTCCACCCGCCCTTTCCAAGTGCGAAGGAGGAACTACTAAGTTTTGCCAGCTTTTCCTCAAAATCCCTCAGGCTTAATTTCCTCCTTTACATTTCCCCTTTGGTATGCTGGTTTTAACAAGTGAAATCAATAAGAGGTTATTGCTCTCATCTGGATTCATCAACTAGTGTGGACCCTACTTCATAGAAATACCAATACACGTTTTTGTGCATAATGTTTTTGCCATGTATTCATTAAGAAAGCACTTTTCTGAAGAACATAGCGTAGAGAATGTTTCTTTATAGTGGCAGATTTGCGGTGTGCTTAAGGTCATGCAATCCCTTGATCACTTGAAGGATCAGTGTGTAGGGTTCGGTGGCCTCTAGTGGTGAAGTTAAAGATTGCCAACCAACTTTATACTACTCGCAAAACTAGCTAAAATCATGCAAGGCCACTTTTTTTTGTTTGTCCCTTGAACACGGTAAAGAGGGCCCACTCCCTCTGTATATAAAAACAGCTCATTCTGGGGTAATAAATCCATATTTACCAAGACCTCAGTGTTCCTTTTTTAAGATTTTGCATATTGAGCATAGCCAAGCTTGCAAATGTAAGTTCACCTACCGCCTTAGACACATCCTTTTTAGAATCCTAAGGGTAATTCATTCAGATCGATACAGGAATCTGTGCAACTCATCGATACCCAATCAGGCAATGTAAATTTATAATGGTTAATCTAAATGTATTGCTGTCACCGGAGGCCACATATAAATGACGCATTTCCTCTTCCACTACCCATTCTGTCCTGCAGTTGTCGATCTTTTAGTCTTTGCACAACCCCTGTGTTTGAGGAGACCACTGGCCTAGAAAACGTATTACTAGGCTGCTCCAGTAGTTTCACATGATCCGTGTGTGCAGTGGCTGGAGGACTAGGTGGAATTGAGTGTTCGTCTCAGGAAATGGATGACTGTAATCATTTCTTAAACACAAATGTATTTTAATATAAGCTTTATGGGTGAAGAGGATTTGAACCTTTTAAATAACCCAGCTGGAGTCAGACCTGAGATCAGAGCTGTTTCAAAGCTGACACCTTGGAGCTGCTGCAGAACTGCCTTGTTAATATACCGTAAAAGACTGTTATTAAACTATTATTGAGTCATCCCATGCTTTCTGCATTTGAAGTCAGGCATTTATTAAATTAGGTTAGCATATGTGTCAAGGCTTCTGCCTTTGGTAGCAGAATTGAAGTACTCTACACTCCCAGAGTAAAGCCAAGGGTGACATAACTAGTAATAATAATAGCTAGTCCATATTATGCACATTTACTGTTGCAGCTTCTTGTCATTGCTAATCTGTTGGTTGTTTTTCTGATTAATGAACCAATTAATAATAGCGGCAGATTTTCTCAGCTATTCTGACGTTTTGGGAGTTTCTCTTATCCGTTAAGATAGCATTTCATCCTTGTTTTTTTTACTACCTTGTCTTTGAGTTCTTGTTATCACATTATTGCTCCCAACAAGCATTTAGGACATCAAAGACAAACACTTCACACACTCGACAACACACACATTTTCTGATCTGTTGAATGGTGTACCTCTCCACTTCATCAGCAACTCTAAACTGCAGGGCTGAAAAGCTAGCTGATGGCCTCACAAGATAAAACGCTGCGACCTCGGTATTGATTCTTAAGGTGTCGCTGGAGACAACCAAGTCAGATACTTTGTCAAGTCGAGAGAATGTGGTGATAGTTAATGTAATGTTGTTTCCTCTGGGACGGAGAGGGATCTGTTCAAATGTCTTGAAAGGAAATGTTGTAGCAGGACAGAATAGACAGAATTTTCTTTTATTGATGGCACACCTATGTAACCTATCTAACCCTCTGGAACAAGACTTTCAACATTCCCAACCTGGGCATCAACCTAATAATAGGTGCTACTTAAAAAACATATCCATAGTAAAATGTTTTGGTCAACAATCAGCAGGATCTCAAAGCAATTGCAACTCAACTCCTGTAGATTAATCTGTAATGGCAACAAATGGTAGTTGCAGTCCAAGAGTGGACAAAAACCAAACGGTAGCAAAAAAGTATTATTTATTGAAAGTTAAGTTTAATAAGGTTTCAAATCTTTTGATTTGGTTATTTGTTTTAATTTTTTTAATCCTCCTGTAAATCCAGTGAGTAGTACACAAAAGAGCAGAGCTCAGAGGGGTTGCGTGATGGGTAGTTGTGTTTTGGACAGTTTGACCCAAGAAAGGACAGTCTGTGTCACTTACTGTGAGCATCAAGTGACATAATATTAACTGTCAGTTACATTTGGGGTTCTTGAACTCTATGACGTTGCCCTAAGCAGACAGCACCAGCTGGTCCCACAAGTGTGTATTTTGGTGCATGTCTTTGGTTTAGGGTTGTGTGACCTCAGTCTAATCCTCTCACTTGAGTTTTCTTCTGTCTGACAATCTAGCAACTCTGATAATCTAGCAACTCTGATACTGCTTCCTGAGTTGAACTGCAAGTGTATGTGTATTTGTGCATACTTCTAGATGATTAGTAATACGCTAAGATGTGATAAATATCAATGTAAACAATTTAAGTTGTTTGTGTGTACATAACAGGCCGCTGCGGGGAACATCATCAACATGTTGTGGCAGCTGATGGAAAACGGTTTGGAGGAGTTGAAACTTTTACAGACGGTCCTGGTCCTGCTGACAACCAACACAGTCGTACACGATGAAGTACTTTCCAAGGTACAGCAACACCTATTTTTTTTATGAATAAATATGTTTGTGGTATCCTGGACTATCACTTATTCTGTTCAAACTCCATCTCCATCTACTGTATGAAGTTATCATATCAGTCCTTGTGACCTGCAATGGCTAAGAACAAAGAATATCATTTTCTGATTCCTCCAGAAAAATGGACCAGGTTCGGTTTATACAATATATAGATGCATATGCTACATAATACGTTTATGTTTTGTTCCGGCCCAGGCTATTGTGCTATGCTTTCGTCTGCACTTCACTAAGGACAACATCACCAACAACACAGCGGCCGCCACCGTCAGACAGGTCGTCACCGTGGTCTTTGAGAGGATGGTGGCTGAGGATGAGCGTTTTAAAGGTGAGAGAATGTTGGTGCAATCTGAGGAAAATGTCCATATAGTGATGGGAGTTGAAACACTGATAGGATGCGGAACTTTCACAGAGTGATGTCTGATCTCAAGGAAGATTTACAGTGAGGAATAAAATATAATATTACGTAATGTATAATATGAATAATGTAGCATACTGTGATGGATAAACAGTTAATAAAATAAATATGTAGGCTGTGATGTGTAGTTAACAGGTAAAAATAAATAACTTCCTTCAATGCTTAAAATATAAATTGTATTTCCCTCCCCCCCAGGTATTGTGGAGCAGCCTCCTCCTGTTCAGGGAAACACCAACAGACGGTCTGTTAGTACTCTGAGACCCAGTGCAAAAGATGCATACATGCTGTTCCAGGTACGTCCACCAGGGGGCGGCAGCCTTCTACACAGTGTTAAACTCCTCTCCCAGCATCTTCGGGTGAAGCCTTTGGACCAAGCTGGTTTTGAAACATGGCTCATGAGCTCAGCATTTGTGGACTAAAGACAAGAAATCAAAATGGTCCCCACAACTGGAAATTACTGTAATTACCAACCGCATAACCTTGGGTTTTAAAGTTTAAAATAAGTTGGTAACTGCTTTCATCTCAGCAGTGAAGTTACATTTGCAAGACATGATTCAAAGGTCCCTTGTCTCCAATTCCCCTGTCATTATTCACCCACGCTGCACTTTTGTGTGATCATGCTTATCCTTCCAGCAGAGCTCAGTGACTTCACTGTTTCAACCACTGTGATGTGTGTAGGACATAACACTCCATTGTTTAAAATGCTGTTGTGCCCCTTCCTGTAGGACTTGTGCCAGCTGGTGAATGCTGATGCCCCCTACTGGCTGGTGGGGATGACAGAGATGACCCGTACTTTTGGCCTGGAGCTGCTTGAGTCTGTTCTTAATGATTTTCCTGGAGTATTCCTACAGGTACATGGAGCCTTACATGTTAGGGCCAATATTATGGACACTTACATACAGAAGTCACAGGTGGCAGAGATGCAAAAAGAAATGAAATTGATGCTCTTTAACAGTAGTGTGTTTTGTTATTACTATGCTTGATATGATCTCAACATCCCTCTCTCTCTCTTTCTGTTTTCTACCCAGCACCAGGAGTTCAGCTTCCTGCTGAAGGAACGAGTGTGTCCCCTCGTCATCAAGCTCTTCTCTCCTAACATCAAGTTCCGGCAGGGCAGCAGCAGCGCCGCCTCACCAGCACCTGTGGAGAAACCTTACTTTCCCATCTGCATGAGGCTGCTGCGCGTGGTTTCAGTCCTCATTAAGCACTTCTACAGCTTGCTGGTAAGGGACTAGTCTGCATTGATGTTTGACTGGCCAGAACTGTTGCCTGATGGATGCTTATGAATAAGGGATTTTCTCCAGCACAGAGCTGATACACCTAATTGATCTGGTCTGATTAGCATTGGATTAGTGTAGAAGTAGTTTTGTCTTAGTTCTGCTCCAGGCGCTTTAATAAGCTTAATTGCATCTAAATAATTAAGCATTGCAGCTGTTTTTATTTAGTGATACTCTATCACTCTTTGACTGAGACGGGCAAGAGACACATTTCCATTTCAAGTAGTGTGGTAAGCTGCAGAATAGCTCCATCAAAGCCCAAAGGGATTCAGGAATTTTGCCAGAGGCCAGCTTCCAGTTACGGGACAAAGCCGGACAAACGTCTGTCCCAATCTGATAAGTGTGTGTTTGTTTTGCAGGTGACCGAGTGTGAGATCTTCTTGTCTCTGCTGGTGAAATTTCTAGATGGGGAGAAGCCACAGTGGCTGAGAGCGGTGGCTGTGGAATCAGTCCATAGGCTATGTGTGCAGCCACATTTATTACGGTAAGCGATATGAAGTTCTACAAAACCAAGCACACATTTTATTAGATGATTCTGTTCCTGTTTCACTCAAATGTCACATTTCTCAGCTGCAGTGAACAAAGACTGGAGGTGTTTTGTGCGTCACACTGCTTGATTGTTGCTGATTGATTTCTCAGTTAGCAGCCAAACAGTGCAGTGTATCTGGTCATGATGTTTCTTATTTATCTACCTCTTGATACAACAACAGAGGTCGAGCTAAGCAGGAAAGCAGGAAAAGAGACTTACAAAACATACCACTGTGGTACACACACTCCTCTACATCCACATAACATAAGCTATCATTATGTAGCCATTTTGACTTTACCAACACTTATACTGTCTTTGCCATCAACAGGATACAAAATGGTTTAAATCGTATGAAAGAATTAAGGATGGTTTTAGGAATAACAATGTTGGTAGGTGACCATCTGTTGATCATCTGTTTGGTCCAGAGTGAAATGTTTTGGCACTTAGATTGTTATTAAACTAGGGCTGCACGTGGTAAAAAAACATCATATTACAATTATGTTGACCGACACTGCAATATGATTCACAATTAGTGTGGAAATGATCAAATACAATTTTCACTGAAAAAAAACATAGAAATCATCATGATGAGATTTTTTGTGGCGTCTGTATCAAACAAACGTGTTTCCTAAAATCTGAAGAAAAAGTTTATTGGGCAGTGCATCTCTGCTGGACTGCAGTACTTCATTACAACGCTGTTTGTATGCTAATTTTACCGTTATCAAGAATTTGCAGCCTCTGCAACTTGTGTATAGCTTCTGCGATTTGCATATCGCACTTGGCCATTTTGCAATTTCGATAATATTTTGATAAATTGTGCAGCTCTAGTGGAGGCGTTCATGATTCCATAAGTTAAGGATGATATGTGGAGCTTAACATCATTGATAGTATATAGTTAGTGGACAGAGCTTCCAGGTCTGTGAAGTGAAGCCAACACAGGAGTGTCTTAAAAATGCATTCTATGTAATGGCCAGCAGGGGGCAGTTCCATCGGCTGCAATAAAAGACAGATAGTATGAAGTCTTAGTCTAACAGCTATTATATACAGCTGAGGCTGTCGAAGCTCAGCTGAACCTGATGGATGTTGTTTTCAATCTGACAGCACAGCTTAGGCTTGTAAAGGTTGAGCCAAGTGTGACAACATAGAGCAGAGTATGAGATGTCCTAAAATGGTGTTTTTCACAGTATAGTTCTGTACTATATCAGCACCCAAATGGCCACTTTCTTGCTGGTTCAGTCTTGCTTAAACACATATCACAAACTTCTGTCTTCTTCTCCTTTGTCAGGTCATTCTGCCAATCATATGACATGAAGCAGCACTCCACTAAGGTATTCAGAGACATCGTCAACGCCTTGGGCTCCTTCATTCAGTCCCTCTTCATCGTCAACAATGCGGGCAACACTGCAGCCGTCAGTGCACCTGCTGGTCAGTTCCTTGATTTTTAAGAGGAATTTAATCCTCATTTCAGAATTCTACAATAATGTGGTACAGTAATCAGTGTATTACTAATATATTTGATAGTCTATTCTCTTTTTCAACAAGTAGGATTCCTGCACCCATGAGAAACTCAGTGCATTTTCATTTTCATGTGTCCATAAAGCTGTGCAAATGCAGTTGAAATTCAGATTTAGATAAAAAATTCATTGAGGTCTTTTCTGTCCAGGTGGCTCGGGTTCGGGGGCCCAGGGCACAGCACAGGGTGGCCCAGGAACAGGAGGGGTCAGCGGCAACCTGACCACGCAGGCTGCATTCGAATACCGTGGTACCTGGATCCCCCTCATGACTGTTAGCGTCCAGGGCAGCGCCAAGGCCACTTAGTACGTTTTTTCATTAACAATAATAGGGCAGAGATCAAAGCCTCAGGCCGGCTTGTTGAGTCGAAATGTTATTGTCATTGGTCTATGTTTGAAATACAGGGAATTACATTAGCCAGAGGCCTTCCTGTAACAGAGAGACGTGTTTTGTCTAAATTGCCCTTTCTGGTAGTTCTGGAATGTATTTGCTGTAATTAGAATCCTTGCTGTCAGTTTTGCAGGCTACATGGAGCTGACTTTCCTTAGTATGACGGAGAGTTACACACACACATTTAAATTTATGGATGGACTTCGTAACATTTAAACATTTATGGACATAATTCATTTCACTGCAGCACACACACACACTTTAACCTCCATTTCATTTTCTCTGTCTCTTTCTGTTATCCTCCAGTCTAGAAATGCTGGACAAGGTGGAGCCCCCGTCCATCCCGGAGGGCTACGCCATGTCTGTGGCCTTCAGTGCCCTACTAGACCTGGTGCGGGGCATCACCTCTATGATTGAAAGAGAATTGGCTACGGAGGAGGAGGCAGCTGCTGAGTTCAGAGAGGCACATCCTGATCAGGAGTGGCAGCCACAACCTGGTGAGAATGGAGGGGTTGGGGGGGGATAAGGAGGAAGACAAGCAGGTTCCGATGCAGTGAAATGTGAGATCTAAACCAGTCAAATTAAATATAAAGCGAAGAAAGCTTGAGGAGGTACATCGAAGTGAAAAGCAACATCTTAAGGTGGAAGATCAGAGCATTTGTGCTGTATAGTAATGTTTAGATTGTACGGATCTTACAGCATGATTACCAAACCCAAGAGGATTGTGGGTGGTTGCACGTCTATGACCCCTGGTGGCCAGTATTGTGCCTGTAATG